TCTAATTTCAAAGACAGGAAATGACAGACATTTTACTTAGCAGGTAAGGAAAGGTGGAAAAGTTAGTTTTTAATTTTGACCCTGAAAACGCGCCATAGGTGCTGGATACAATGAAATCACTTGGAAACAATGGCAAAATCACTCATTAATGATATTGATATGTGACCTCGGTGTTCCGCCTTCAATATATGCAAAACAGTTTGAAATCTTTCCATACTCGACGATGCAGTAAAACGTAATAAATTAACCAGCATTTTTGTCTTTTAACTTTATATCCAAGAAATCATGGCTAACTAAAAGCTACCTGAAACTCGCAGGCTAAACAATACTTTCGACGTTTATAGAGTGCGGATATTCACATGACCAAGTCTTTAAATCCGGCACTGTCTCGGTGTACACCAAGGCCGTTTGCAAAAGAAGCGTGCGTCGCTTTGTCTTATGCTCGTAGCGAGATTGTTTAAATCCGGCGACAAAAATATTAAGAAACTTTACTGCAAAGTTAAAAGAATGATGTATGGCTGATTACGAAACAGATGAAGCGATAGCGCTGTTCGTTTAGCTTATTAAATCAAATTCAATAAAAGAATCCGGCTTATTCCAAGGCTAGTCATGAATCAGTCATTGAAGACTGTTGACTACCGTATAGTACCGTTGAGTACCGTCATGGAGCGATATTTGACACATTCATTTGACCTTTGTGTACATGTCTTCCACCGTTGTATCGCCGTGAGATCCAAGCGATCAAGGCAAGAGTCATGATGAAAATATTCCGGACCAGTGCTAATTTTACTTTTGTCTGCTTCAAGTCCTAAATCAATGCATTCTTATTTATTATTTAACCTATTAGTTTGGAAACATACCATAAAGGCACTCCTACGGGGCAACAGACTTTCGTCAGGACTAACCGAGCGACAGACAAGGGCGCGAAGCCATGCGCTACGCATGACCTTGAGCGCACGATGACGATAAACCAAAACCTCTTCAAAACAAGTTAACATTCGCTATATGTACTGACACACTACACCAACCTGTTGATTGTCGTTCCAGAATCA